TTTCTGGCTACAGTGTCTGGTTTGGGCCAAAACCCTTTCATATATGTGTTCAGTAGCATAAATTTTAAACTGCTTCATAAACAGGAAGAGAGGCAGCTCTAGAATCTCTGAGGGCACAGATGGCAATCACAAAGCACCATTACTTTCTATAGCTGTCTTAGAATGTAAGCATATGAACCAGTCAGCTTTCCCACTGCTGGGAACAGTACTGGACATCCACAGATTTAAGGAACTAGGAGTGGTACTAGTGTACACCTGAAATCCCAGTCTAACTATGGATGGGTAAATTGTGTGTGTGTGTGGGGGGGGGTTCTGCCTCACCACGGTCCCAGGGCATCACTAAACTCATTTTGTGATTATCATCCCATTGCTGGAATACATAGTTGAAATAATCACTCAGCAGGTGGCAATATCTCAACATCATTTCTCTCATTTGTGGGGTGGGGACTCATGTAGCAGAAAAGATAAAGTGCAGTCTGCCGTTACCTAAGAGAAAGTAAACAAAAGCACTAAAACTAATTCCTCAAGCAATTATTATATAGATTAGTGCCACAATTGGGGATTTAAAGGATATGGGAGTGGTGCTTCTCACCCCATCTTCTTCACGGGGCCTAAGCAAGAGGAAGGGCATATAATAGGCTCTGCTAGCCTGGATTTTAGCTGCATCTCCCAACTTGGTACCAGACCCAGAGAAACAACTTATCTCTCCAAGAGTAACTTCTGTGTTCTCCTTGTCATTCCAGAGATAAACCCTGCTCCCTTTTTGCACATGCGCCAACCCCTCCCCTTTCCAACCCCAAGACCCCACAACCACCCAAGCCTCCACCTCCAGCCTGCAGTAAATCTTTAAAGGAGCATCTGCCTGTTTTACACAGGCAGATGCTCCTTTAAATCAGTGGTTAACATAACATTTTGCCCAGCCCAAACTGATAAAAATAGTCCCACTTCTTTGTTCTCTTTTGAAGCCTCTATACGCCCTACACTGAGAAGCTCACGCATGCTCACCCAGGCCTCATCCTTTGTCTCCTTATCTCTCTTGTGTTCTCTGCTCCACTTCCAATTAAATGCCAAAAATACTCAATGAGACTAGGCATCAACCATGGCTACACAAGCAGGTTGCAACCTGGGGAATTTGTTCCCCAAACCTCGTTCAGCTAGGTAGGTCTTCAGCACAGATGCCTGCTTTGTTTCTTCTGTTTGTTTTCTTTGGTTTGAGACAGTCTCATTATGAGGCCAAGCTGGTCTCAAAATCCTGGTGATCTTCCTGCCTCAGCGTCCCGAGTCATGATATTGCACACATGTGCCACATGCATGTCTGAGTGACTGCTGTCTCAGCTACACTGCTGGCCAGCAACCCAAGCTCCCAGGCCTGCCACCAGGGAAGATGCTTCAAATCCAGGAACCCCTAGGCCTCTCTGAACACCTCTGCCACTCCAGGGCCTTGGGTATGAGGCTCTTGACACTAAGCTATGTCATCAGCACTTCATTGTATTTGCATTTTGATACAAGGCCTTTATAGGCCACTTTTTGCTGTTAACTAGGGATCCTCCTGCCTCAGCCTCCAGGAGCACTGGGAATACAGGTGTGTGCCACCACCATCACAAACCTGAAAGCTGCTTAATCAAGGCACTTCCTCCAACCTGAAGCACAGCGTTTTGCTCTTGGTGGGACCTAAGACATAATAAAGGTAGCACTTTCAGTACAGTGCTGGATGTCCCCTGCCACCCATCCCCCATCCCCAAAATGGAAACTCTGACCACAGAATATCTGGGTGAAGTGCTCTTGAATGAATTAAAAATAACTTCCCATATGGGGAAAAATTACTTTAATAATGTGGGTTTGAGTTCATCACCTTGCTGTTGGTGTTTTAAATGATCTAAAAAATCTCCAACCTCTTTTGCATACAAGTACCAATGGCTTTTATCATGAACCTAACTTCAGCTTTATGTTGGCTGACTGACAGTGCAACAAGTGACATTACTATGCCTGTCTGTCTATCACGACTGAAATAAGGTAGCACAAGTGATGGGAGCATGAACTTATCAAGGCTGCATAGGCAGGTCTAAGGAATGAAGTAAGCATCTATCATTGGTTGTTTATTACAGTGACATCAATTTCATATTCACCAATCCAATGAGAGTTTTGTTACTCAATTTGTCAGTACTTGTAGGAAGTGAAATGCCCTAGGAAAAATACTTGGTTGCATGAAGGCTAATTTTTTTTTTTTGCTTTTTTTTTTTTTTTGTCTTTTTTGTTTTTATTGGTACCAGGGATCAAATCACGACCACACACTTGCAAGGAAGGTGCTTATGCCACTGAGCTAAATCCCCAGCCCCTGAAGGCTCATTTTTAACAGGTTCATGCTCAGGGTTAGGGCAGGAGTAGTAATTTCAGTGGGAATCAAAATTTCCTTTTTTTTAACTCTTAGTGTAAGGAGCCCGGGTAAATCTAATTGAGTAGTCTGGCTGAATGAGCCAGGGAAAGAGGGGACATGGAGAGATTGTTGCTAGTCTGATTAGGACTGGATGAAACTGGTTTAATTGGTTATGAATTACTGAAGTATAGGCTGAAGGATCTCATTCTTATTGAGGTATTTTCTTTGGTCACATGATCTAAATGTATGCCTTTCTTATTGTTAGAGTACTCTGGTGCAATAGAGAAGTAAAAGCACAAAATGAACAAGTTTATTGAGTTGAGGTGTGGGAAGGAGCACACAACCCGTGGTGGCTAGCCTGTCCCCTGCAACCAGATACAGAAAGGCACAGGGTTATATGACCTCTGGTGAGAAGTGCCACATGGGGCGGGTATTGATGACACACAAGGAACCTATTGGAATTCTCTGTGCATGCAATCAGGAAGGAGATTTGCAATTAGGGCTGAAGAAGAAGGAGGAAGAGGTAAGTGTTCCCAGTTTGGCCTTTCGCCACTTTAGGCTACTGCCATAATTTTGCATTTATACCAGGGCAAGAATCTTTCACTTATGAAATTTAGATTTACAATGTTTCTTCCAGTGAAACCCTTTCATACAGCATGGATACAGACCAGGCACAGCCTGAGTAAAGGATCTGGAGCCTTTAGAGATGCTGCATAGTTTTTGCTAGCATGGTCTCCTTTGACTCAATTAAAGCACTGAATCACATTTAACCTATTAGTAAGATGTTGGATATAGACCGTGCTATGGGTACTAAAACATAGGTGGTGGATCTAGGATTTTGGCACATTTGAATACACATGGACAAATCTGTTGTGTGAAGGACTGATGCTATGGCTCTTTTGCAGTCTTCATTAGTGCTAGGATTATTTCTGAAAGATGAAAAATATTTCCAAAGATGAGAAGTATAAAATAAAAAGTGGCCTTTATTCTGAGAACATGGAGAGAGATGACCAGCATCCCCCCACCGCTGGTGACCGGCAATCTCTCTGCCTGACACGTGGCGTGGGGTTACGTAAGTAGCCTCAGTTTGGGGTGGAACCTAAGGCGGGCATTGGGGATGCACAGGTAGCCCATTGGCCCTAGGTTTGGCACCATATGTAAATTTCCAGGGGCAAGAAGATGGCGTCACAGGTAAATTCCTAGGGGTGGGGGAGTTAGGGGCTTCCTGCTTCCAGTTGAGGCTTTCCTGGCTACAGTGTCCTGTCTGGGCCAAAACCCTTTCATATCCCGTCTTATGATTATTATTATGAAAAGGGCGAAGATTTCTCTCTTTACCTCCTGCTGGCAGAGGGCGCTGTACTGGAGCCTAGGGGAGTCGACGGGATGAAGCTTGATGCCCAGGTAGACGCTGGTGCCAGGTATTTTGGCCAGGACAACTTCACTGGTGAATGCATGTATGTCAGACTGGAAAAACAAAGAGACAAGATGTTATGAGGAGACATGGCACTGTTATATTTAAGGACCCAGGTGAGGTAGAAGGGAAGTTGCCTTTGATTTAGACATCATTCTATCAGGACGATGTTGAGGTAGGAACATTTCCACTGTAAGGCAGAATTCTGAAAATTAAATGTGGGGTTAGGAGGAATGATGTTATGAGAGGTGAATACTCCCCCATCTGAAAGCATAAAAGTTAAGAGGTTGGTCGGTAAGGCTTGTCTCTGGTATGCTTGACATTGGAATCTGTAGGCAATACTGTTAGAGTCCTGCTGTAAAAATGATCATTAATAGAATGTAAGAAATTAGGAACCAAAGCGGAGTTGCTGGGAGAGTTATGGGTCCCGGAAGGCAGAGAGGGAGAGGATCGCACAGCGGGAGGTAACTGCAATGCATGGGGACCAGAACTGCTGAGAGAATCAGGATTAGGGGGAGGGGAGAGCGGTCCAGCGGGAGGTAACAGCAGGGAACGAGTTTGGGGGTAGGCAGGTGGCAGCAGGGAAAACACCAGAGGGCAGGACAGAAAAGTTTGCAGTGCAGTACAGTTAGCTAAAAGTATCTGAGCGGGAGCACAAGACTTAATGAGAGATGGGCGTGTTCTCAGAACAAGAAAGGCCTGAATATAAGGGAGTTCTAATAATTTGTTGCCCGCCTGACAGAAACCATACAAGTTCCTGAGAATGCAGGCGTCAAATGTTCCTTCTTTGTGCCAAAGCTTGCCGATAAGCTGGTAGGTTGGCCAGACCTCCTGGCAGTAAAAAATTAATTCTTTAGTTTTTATGGTACTTTTAATTTTTAGAGTACGTAAATTGGAAATTAGGCATTGTAAAGGCGTCTTTTGGGAGTTAGAAAATACGTTTCCCATGACTGATTCAGGCAAGACGTAAACCAATGGTTCAGAACAAGCCATTACTCGTTTGTGGGACCACACGGCGGCTATGGTTCCAAAAACTTGTATATTCCAGCCTTCACTGAGAGATTTACGAGTGGAGCCCACATGGGGACAGTAACAGTTTTGCCCATGAAAACTCCAGGCTTTAAGGGAAGTGAGGCGGTCCTTTCAGTGTGGGCGGTCCAAAAATCTCTGCTTTGGTCCCCAGCCTGACTTCCCACTCCTCCCAGCCCACCTCACTCAAGTTCACTTTCATTTCCTGCCTCACCAGTCCCTTGGTGAGTACATCAGGAACTTCACTAAAGACTTGTTTCCTCCTCTACAGGGACTCAGGACTTCTCCACAGGTATGCAAAGCTTTGTTAAGCAGTCATAGTGGACAGAGCTCCACAAACTACAAGAAAATCTACAAGCTGCATTTTCTGGGTGCGTTTCGAAGCCTTTCTGGGGGAGGGAAAAGCCCAGCTTGCAGGATTCCTGCTGCACAGATTCTGAGGCCTGGGAGGAGCAAGGCTTGAGGCTGAGAAGGCTCCCTCTCCCTGAGGGAGGTCTCCTTCTGCAGCCTGAGAGCCACCCACCACTCCTAGTCCTCCTTTCTAGCCAGTATGTGGGATCTCACCTTGGCTAAGTGTGCCTAGATCCTGATATCCAGGGCAAATAGTTGTTTCCTGGAGCTAGAGGGTCAGAGCCCTGGGGCTATTTTCTTTGCAAGGTGATACTAGCATCTTTTCAGAGTAACTGTGTTTGAACCTTGCTGTGCACATGACCGGTTCCCTGGAAGGAACCATACTAGCCTAGATAACTGACAAATTTCTCTTTATTCTCAAGGAAGAATTCTTAAGTGCTTCTCTCTTAAGAGGGGACATATGTTCTCTTGCCTGGGGACATATCTGATTCCCTCAAACCTGGCATCTCTTTGCAGAGTAATCACACTGGCCTTTTCAAAATTGTTCAATATGCTCCTTCAACAGGGCATTTATATATGTCATTTTTTTTCTCCCTAACACATTTGTCTCTGTATTAACCTCTGCGTTCTACTCCTTTAGGTTTCATTTGAAACATTGTATATTTTGTTTGGAATTCTAGAGCAAAAACTTTGTCCCATCATTTAATTTGGTAACTACAGGTACATTTTTCTAGCATGGTTTGTCACACTTTATCTTTCTGACTAGTGAGTTCATATGACTTTCAAGTTGAAAGTCAAGTCCATAACAGTGCTTTACACCATGTTTGGCCTCTGGCATCATCTTTCATTTTAGATTTCAGTGAAGCTGCTAAGACATAACCCAGCATTAATAAGGATTTGCCAGATAATTACATCTGATATTTGGGAACTTCTCTAAAATACCAACATAAAATTTCTCTGGGATTATGTGTTTAATATCTCTGACACATGGGATTCTGCAAGTATGTTTATGTCATCTCCCTCCCTAATCGACATATGCACACAGACCCTGTAGGTTTCTCCATGTCCTTGGTAAATTTCAAGAATCAGATAAAATCCTACCATTTACAGTCATGCTTCTGCAGAATCCATAGGACTCAGAAGACCAGTTCTACATTTACATGGTTCTGAGTGTTTTGATGCCTATGTAGTTACCTCTGTTCTTTTTATTCTGTGTGGTAGAGGAGAAACTTCTGAAGGAGGACTAAATGGGTCAATTCCAGCTGAAAGTACTGAAAATATATGGGAAAAATTGGGTTGAAAAACTCAATTTTCTCTCCAGTTGAAGTTGCACACTGAACTGTTTGAGAACCAAATCAGATTTCCCCATAAAGTCAATATTGAACTGAGAATTGAATTTGACTTTTTTGTCCTCAAACTCAGTGTGCTCCCAGCATCATGTAAAGAAAAAATTCATCAACCAAGGAACTAACATATTACCTTTGAAAGTCATTTACAGTTCTGTTTATTCATCTAATAAAAGGATTAACTTTGTTTTATCTTTTTAAAAATACAGAACTGCATATGAATAGCAAACAGTGAGACCATTTAGATGAGGGAGTTAGAACAGCTCTGCTTGAGAAGATAACTTGTACAGGAAGTATTAGAATGAGAACATACTGATAGCAAAGGTGTCAAAGATGTCCTGTGATATAAGAAGTTTGGTGGTTTTTAACCACCAAAGGCTATGATTTTGGTGGGAGAAAGAAAAGTCAGGACTATGAAATGATTTTGGTAGAAAAGGACTACATTTATCTATGTGTGCAATACACAAAGGGAAAATAAAAAATCACTCTAGGTATAAATTTGATCAGATGATACAAACTGAGACTTAAAGTGCCTGAAATTATTGTGACGTAATTGGTATGATGGCAGTTCTTGTAATCCACAAATGAGCCTCTAAGCTTGAGATTAAAAAATAAGGCAAAAACATATTTTAAAAAGCAGCGCTGATTTATTTAACTCTGGGCCCAGGGACACAGTGCAGCTGGAGACTGCAAAAGCTGTGTGTTGTTCCTTTACACTTGCCACATTTAAGTGCATATCACAATTTACAAAGTAAGGGGGTCGTAGGCCTGGGTCAGGAAAACTGTTAATGAAGAAGACCTTTGTTTTCCTTAGGAGAGGACAGAGCAGTCTGACAGTAAATAACAACCCCTGTTAACTTATTTTAGCACCATATCTACTATTTGTAGAGGGCAACAATGGTTAATGTATCAATTGGGTAAGATTTTACAATTCTTTACAGAGGAGAGCATTGATTAACATATCAATTAGGTCACCCAGAGGGGGGAAGAAAACACATATACTTTATGGCCACATTACAGGTATTTTGGTATAATACAAATATAACAAAGTTCTTTTTCCTAGTGTACAACAGCAGTAACACATTTTAGTTAATTTCTGGGACTTTTTGTTCTTTTTTTTTTTATTTGAGTTTTACTATTTTGATCTTTATGCCTATGTAATTTTTCCCTACTCACTATTCATTCTACTCCTATCTTTGTTACTCTGCCCATTTTAATTTTCTCAATTTCAGGATTCAGAGGAGTATAAACTTCAGAGTCAGGACAGACAGGAGCAGGGAAGCAGCATCCATGGCTTCATCTGTACTGGAGAGTATCAACGAGGAGGTGACCTGCCCCATCTGCCAGCAGCTCATGACAGAACCTGTGAGCGCTGACTGTGGCCACACTTTCTGTAAACCGTGCATTACTGCAAGACACGAGGCCACGCAACATGAACAAGGAGAGAGCCACTGCCCTGTGTGCCGAGATGTTTATCAGTTTGAAAACCTGAGGCCCAGTTATCTTGTGGTGAACATGGTGGAGAAGCTCAGGGAGTTAACACTGAGCACAAAGGCAGATCACTGTGACCTCCATGGGGAGAAACTCCTGCTGTTCTGTAAGGACGATGGGAAGGTCATTTGCTGTCTGTGTGAGCATTCTCAGCAGCACCATGATCACAAGGTAGTTCTCATGGAGGAGGCTGTAGAGGAGTATCAGGTGAGAGAACACAGTTGTGGGAAGATAGAACAGCAAACAATACCTGGGAGAAAACTTCCACTTTGCAGTATCATTTAATTTGTTTGCAGCATAGGACTGAGGTCTGTCATTTCTGTCCATTTCTTTAACTTCTGCAGTCCTATAGACATAGTTGTACACTCCAGTTAATTGCAATAAACAAGGCCTAGAGTGGGTTCAGATACAGGTGCTTTCCTTGGTATAGAATAAGTTTTCACTTCTGGAACAGAAAAAAACCAGTATACACTTGGTGAAGGGGACTTGGCTTTACTATTTAAAGAATTAACTAGGGACATTCAGAAGGCATTCATCCTCTCACGTGTATCTTTCCTTGACATTTTTTTTTTGTTTCAGTAAATTCAAATTTCTGCATAGATCAACCAGATTTCATGTACATTTATCCACTTTGAGGTGTTGAGAAGGTCATGGCTTGACTGAAATATGATTCCTCTCTCACAGGAGAAGCTCCATCAAGTGTTGGAGAAACTAACTAAGGATGAGAAAGAGTGTGAGAAGTGGAAAACTCACATCAAACAAGAAAGAACTTCTTGGAAGGCAAGAAAGTACACTTTCTAAGTCTGGTAGCCATAAATCTGACAGGATCTTGCGGAAGAAGTCCTTTCTTCTTTATTCTCTGGCACTTGTTGAGTCCAGACATTTGATGAGTCCTATGCATGCTCTTCCTTTTGGGAGTGTGGTCTGGAGCGGGACTGTCACCAATGGGTACTGCTGTTGGGAGGGAGGTGATCACACTGAGGGGTCAGGGGAACACAGCTAGTGAATGCTGTCCTGTGTGCCTGTGGCGGTTGTTGAGGGGGACATTTGACAATGGATTGTGATTCTGTCTTCTGTGTTCAAGTTCTGGTAGAGAGTGCACAAAGAGAGTGAGGAGTACAGCAGGGAAATGGGAAGTGCTGAAGAGCTGGGAATTGTGGGTATCCCGTTTGGGGCAGGGAGAACCTTGATGAGGTTGATTTATTTAATGATAGGAAAGGAAATTCACAGGAATACTGCCTCCCTATGTACTTCTCCTGGGCTGGAGATCAGCTTAGTGGCACAGTGCCTACCTGGCAAGGCAGTTGTGAGTTTGATTCCATGTAAACACCTCCCACCCCAAAAGAACTTCTTACCTCCCTTCTTCTGACAAATTCATAGTGAAAAGTGTTATTTTTCTGGCTTACAACCTCATGTGACTGAGTGACACTCTCTCTCATTCCTGAAGCATCAAATACAGGAGGACATATTTAGTGTCCGGATTGCGTTTAAGCAAATGAGAGCCATCCTGGACTCTGAGGAGAAGACTCAAGTTCATAAACTGAAGAGAGAGGAGGAAGGTATTCTGAATGGCCTGGAAGAGTCTGAAAGGGAGCTGACCCAGCAGAGCCAGCTGGTGAGAAAGCTCATCTTAGATGTGCAGCATCGGCTGCAGGGGTCAGTGATGTCCTGTCAAGTCTTACCTGATACTGCAGGTAAGACTTGACAGGAAGTTCCAGCTTCTGAGATTCAGGACAGATGGAAGCATTTCCTTCTCTCTTCTGTTGCTGAGCTTTTGAGTGATAGTAATAAAGTCCTTTGGGTTAATGAGTACTTCACAGAATTAATCCAGAGCTTATAGAAATAATTGCATGTACATATAAAATGGAGAATCTCATTTCAATTCTTATGAAGTACAGTGCAAAAATCAGATATTGGAGGGAAGATCCATTGTATCCTGTGATGTTTTCTGATTCCTTGTTCTCTGTGATTTAGTACTAAGAATTTATCAAGCATCATTTCTTGATTCAGAGTAGTCACTGGTGATCAAATGAACTTCAGGTTACAAATGATGTTGTTTTTCCCTTGTAGAATCAATGAAAACTATTTCCATTTTAGTCACCCCCCAAAAAAAACAATATTAGCTGACTAGTATTTTTTTCTTTAATATTCAGTAAAATTCAGCATAGAAGCCATGTCACAGCTGTGGGGTTTTTTGTTGTTGTTGTGGGTTTTTTTTTTTTTTTTTTTTTTGGTGAAATTATAAATTTTGAATGCTTTTTTCTTGCCTAAATGAGATAATCTATATGTCTCGAGTCAGTTTTTGGAAATCCATATTTTTGTAGGAATTTTTTCATTTTTATGTAAGTTGTTGAATCTGCAGACATAGTCCTAAGAATTATTTATAATTCTTTTCCTATTTTTTTTTTATCAGTACCAGGGATCGAACTCACGATCCCCTGCTTGCAAGGCACGAGCTTATGCCGTTGAGCTAAATCCCCAGCCCCTAGAATTCTTTTCATTTCTATGTCATGTTGACTTACTTTACTTGTGAAGTAAAAATTGTTTGTATGTATCACACATACCATGTTCATTTGAAATATGCATACATTGTGGAATACCTAAATGAAGACCTGAAGATCAGTGTTATAGATTACAAGTTGCAAAAATAACTGAAGACACACTAAACTGCCTTATGTTTGGCAAAGGTGCCAACAACATTCATTGGAAGAGAGATAGTCTCTTTAATAAATGATGTTGGAAAAACTGGTTTTCCAAATGCTGAAGATTAAAAATGGATCGATATCTTTCACCATGTACTAAGCTAAAATCAAAATGGATAAAAAATCTTAAATATTGGGGGCTGGAGGTTTAGCTCAGCGGCAAAAGCTCCTGCCTTGGAAGCAGGCAGTCATGAGTTTGATCCCCAGTACTGATAAAAAGGAAAAAGACAAAATAATTTTTTTAAAAAAAGATCTTACATATTAAAACAGAAACATTAAATCTGCTGGAACATAGAATAGCTAAAACTTGAAGACACTGATGTGGACATAGACTTTAAGAATAAAACCTAGAGTGCATAGGACTGCAAAGCCTTTGCACAGCAAAAGAAATCACCAACAGAGTACAGAGTCAACCTGCTATCTAGGAGAAAATGTTTGCTAGCTGTTCCCCAGGTAAAGAATTATTATTGAGAGCATATGAAGAACTAAAAAAATCAGCCCTCCCAGATTTGAAGACCCAGCCCAAAAACGGGCATCTGAGATTAACACACACTTCTCAGATGGAGAAGTACAAACAGCAAATAATTATATGAAAAACTGTTCTACTACACTGGCCATTCGAAAGATGCAAATTAAACAACACTGAGACTTCACCTTACCACCAGAAAGAATGGCTACTATTAAGAAATCAACCATTAATAAATGCTGGAGGGGCTGTGGGGAAAAGGGAACACTTCTCCATTGTTGGTAGGAATTCAGATTGGTGCATCCACTGTGGAAATCAGTGTGGAGACTCCTCAAAAACCTGGGATTACAGGTCCCATTTGACCTAGCTATTTCTCTTCTGGGTATCTTTCCAAAAGAATTAAAAACATCATACTATCATAGTGATATATGTGCACCCGTGTTTAAAACTGCTCAGTATATAATAGCCAGATCTTGGAGACAACCTAAGGCCCATTGAATGAGGAATGGATAAAAAAAGATGTGGTATTTCTAAACATTGGGATAGTACTCAGCCATAAAGAATAATGAACTGGACACTTTTATAGGTAAATGGATGCACCTTAAGAATGTTCTCAGTGGTGAAATAAATACGTCACGAGTGCATGATCACCACATTATTTCATTATTATACTAAGGGGAAAATGTATTTTGTCCAAGAGAGAAAGACTTCAGTCAAGCAGTGACTCAGGCTATACCTGCCTATACTTTAACTAACCCACTGTGAGCCATTTTGAGTTGACTTTTGGATGTTTTAAGAAATTTTTGATGTGCTATAACTTTTGGGTTTTTGCATGTGGATAATCTATATGAGGGATGATGGTGGTGGTTTGGTGGGGGATTGTGTTTTCTGATCTTTGTTGTCTTCCTCTGTTTGTTTAATTCTGTCTTATTTTTAATTTCTCAGGGAAAGACATGGGAATGTTTTGTCACTTTGTTCTTTTCTGATGTACTTGTTAAAACAAATAAAAAATTTTTAAAAATGGAGAAAGCAGAGAATGATCTATGTAATTTTCAAAACTTAAAACAGAAATCAAAGGCAAACTGAACTGTTTTAAGTTTGAACCGCTGAAAGGATCATTCTATTTGGTGTCTCAATTTACGTTTTCATTTTTTTATGGATTCATTGAAAACGGCAACATGTGGGCTGGGGATTTAGCTCAGTGGCATAAGTACATGCCTTGCAAGCACACGGTCATGAGTACGAACCCTGCTGCCGATAAAAAAAAAAAAAAAAAAAAAAAAGAAAAGAAAAGAAAATTGCACCATGTAATAGGGAAGAAAAATCTGGGTTTCCCCAGGCCCTTCCACCCATAGGTGACCCCTGTTGTTTCCTGCATGGACTGTAAGTTTTATTTTCATGTCCAAAAGTGGGATTGTGAGAAATAAGGAGTTTAACATAAAAAATGAAGCTAAGTAATTTATGCATTACTTTACATATTTATTTTATGATAAGAACAAAGTTTGTTCTTTATGCAATTTATAAGCATTGTGACAGATGAGTCAGTGCATATTCACCATAATCATTACTGTAGATGGCCTCAGTTCACCAGTAAAAGAAACACAGGCAAGTGGATCAACTAAGAAGATCCTTTAATTATGTGAAATAGAACAAATATTTACCACAAAATCTTTCATAGACAGAAAGTCAAAAGAGAAAACAATTCTCCTGGCAACAGTGAACCAGAAAAAGGCTGGGGTATCTCACCCAACACCCTCAAAATGAAAAAGAAAGATACATTATTTTTGTGCAGTGGAAAGCTAGTCAGCTATAAAGAAGGCTAATCTTGAGGCTCTTACAGGTAAATGGATGAAATGAGATATGTTCAGCATCTCCTTCATTTCTTTTATCATTTCTTCTTTTACCTGGGAGATTACTTCTAGTTTGAATTCCTTTAAAGCTTCCTGGAGTTGCTTCTTTATTTCAGTTGCTATTATGTCCGATATTTCAGGTGTATGGCATATATTTTCTTCTATGTACATCGCTCCTAAATTTCTTGGGATGGGCTGGAGGTTTGAGATTGTAATTTGGTGTTTCATTTTGTCATTTTCCTATATTTCTGTGTTTCAATTGTTATTCCAAAGCTTCCCTAGGGTCTGTTGGAAATCCTCTTCTATGCCTTCGGCTCCTGGGACTCTGACCACCCAGTTCGCCGGATTGAGAAAGGGTCACTGGGGGTGGGGCAGGCTGGCTCAGGTCCAGCCTCTGGCGCCGATGCTGCTGCTTGCTTAGAACTCCAGAGTCTGCCAAGCATGGCCCAAAGCAGGGAGGCATTGCAGGCCCGCTCATGACCCGCCAAAATGGATGAAATTGAGACCATGCTTCTGAGTGAAACGGTTCACTCACCTGAGCAAATATCATGTGGTCCTCAAAGCATAAAAAGCTGAAGGAGTTAGTGGGATTGAAAATGTAAAATAGATATTGCCAAAGTGAAAGGGGTTGAAAGTCTAAAGAGGAAGGCGTTTGAATTGGCATTTTATCTTAACTCTTATTGTTGGTACTGTAAAATCTCCATTCTCAACATATCAGGTTCTTCTGAGAATGGCAGTTTCAGAGCCATTTCCTCTTGTGTTGAAGCCCTGTATCACTTTTATTTTTCCTTTTGTTTGACTTTATTGTATCTGATTGTATGAGCTGCTATTGTGAAGACAGCAGGATACATTATGGTACCCATTGTTGATCTCCTATTATCTTGTTTTAAGGCCCTATAAAACTTTCCTTGTTTTGGTTTGATTCATTTTAAACTATTTTGTTTTGTTTGCCTTTATTATGACTGATGGTTTAGGCAGCTAGTTTGACTATAAAGAGGCATCATGGTAGCCATTGTTGATTTCCTATTATTATGTTCCCTATTGTGTTTTGATTGACTGTATTCTATTTTATTTTTTTTGGTTATATTCTCTTCAAAATAAAACAAATTCTTAAAAAGATACAAATTCAAACCATTTTCGAGCTGGCCATACCTTACCCGATGCATTCTTTGCACATCTTTTATTCTTATGGGTGCATTTTTGGCTCGTCCAGAATTGTATGCCACTTAATCCTAGCTTAGCAATTATATCCAGTTCCTGTGTTTGAAGCAGCAACACGGGTGAATTTTAAGATGGTTTAGGATGATCTAATGCAGGCAGGTGTCATACATGCTCTACAACTTTTGTTAAAATGTAGAAGTAAAGTTCTCATTTCTGCAAAGTTTATATCAGGAGAGTCCCATTGCTTTCGTGTCCTAGGAATAAAGTCTAAGGAGATGGAAAACTTGAATTTCAAGTAACTGGTAAACCCAACTGCAAAGATAACTTTGAGCTATAAAACTCAGCAATTGCCAGAGTTATAACTTCCTGAAACAGACCTGTTTTACCTCTAAACATAATTTTCTATAGTTTATACAGAATTTTATTTGGGTGATACGAGCCTATTATGAAGAAGAAACTCTGTACACATGCTTAGACCCAGTTGATGGCTTATTTTTTGCATAGACTTACAGGGAGGAAAGACATCTAGAATGAAGAGCAGCCAGTGCATTGCCAGATTTCTGTCCTAACAAAAGTGTATCTGCAATGATAAAATGAATAGCTGATTAAAAACCATGAAAGGTGGGGACTAAACTGGCATAACAGAGCCTGAAATTCAGAGCAAATATTATAAGTTTTAGGAGAAAGAATTGTGAGAGAGAAGGCATCATGGTTGTATTAAATATTACACATCCTAGTGTTTATCTTCATGGCTTCATCATTGGTGAGATAGGGCATGTTCAGGGAGGCATGGCCATAGACTTCTTCATTACTGAACATATTAAGCTGCATTTGGCTAGCAAAGCTAAGGAGAAATAGATTTTGAAACAGTTTCCTGTACATGTAATTCAAGTGATGGTTAGGTCCATTTGAGTTAACATGTAAAGTCAGAAGAAATCCTTGTTAAAATACTTGTTTACTTGTCCCTTCAGCATAAAACATAGAAACATTTCTGGAATTATTATTTGTTTATGTTTGATTCTGTAAGGCCTATTCATACCTGCAAAATAATAGTGAGTTGTCATATGCATATGTAACATAATTGAAAGCATCATGTATTATTTAAACAACATCATGGGTAGCCATGGGGTGTTTGAATTGCATTTTATCTTAACTCTTATTGTTGATACTGTAAAATCTCCATTCTCAACATATCAGGTTCTTCTGAGAATGACAAACTTTGTAAGTGAAAAAAGTCTATTTTTGTTACTCATATTTTCTTTTTTTTTCTCATTAGGATGTAAAGGACTTTGTGGAAAGGTATGTATATGATGGCAAGAATTGACATTTTGTGCATGAGAAGAAATTTATAGTTATTAAAAGCTTTAGAGTGTTCAATAAGAATAGAAATTTTAGTTGTAGTGCTACATAAACATCTTGTCACATTTAGAGTTTGACTGTTTTGTTACTAATGACAATAGACCAGAAATGACCAGTTGTATGGTAGAATTTGATTTGTGCACAGTCATGCCGTAGAACACTGGTGGTATTAAGCCTAAGGTGTTACTCCATCAAGCTCCTTGGTGTCAACATTGTATTCACTGTGGACCTCAATCTAGCTCTAGGTTTTGGATTTAATAGGGGCTTGATTTGTTGTAGATGAGATACATCTTCCTTACCAAGTGGCAAGAATTACCCATTAAGGTAATTCCTACAGACAGTGTTTGTATTTTCCTCCTGAAAATGGTAGAGATCACATCCAAAAACCTGAGTTGAGTCTGTGAAACAGAATTTTGACCCAAGTGCAAAGAGATGAAGCACTTTATTCACATTGTTCAGAAGTATTTGGGAAGGTCTCATCCTGCTGTCTACAATTGCATACCTGTCTGGAACTGTCAGGCTTTGCCAAATTCATGGAATTTAGATCGGTATTAGTTTCGTGTTCTTTCTCCAAATGTTTGTAATTTTTCCCAGAGAAAAAAGAAACCTGAAACCTCAGATGGTATCTGAGGACCTTTTTGTTGACAGAGTTTTGGAGTTCTTGGATATCTTCAGGTAGGGTTCCTACCCTGATATCCCATGATCTCTAAGAGCCAGATGTTATAAGTGTAATTAATGATCAGTTTCTCAGGAACAATCATGGCAGGAGCTCTTGCATGCGTTTTTCTGTCTTTTAATACAATAATGCATGGGAGCAGTTTTGTTTTGAAATAGTTCAAAAAAAAAATACTCTACTCTGACCAGTTTCCATCTTCCAAAGATCATACAGAATGATTGAGAAGGCAGATATGTTTCGTAGAACTTCAAGATCAGGACAGAGTTTGCCTTGTCCCTTCTCAGGATCACCAGGGAAGAAATCAAGTGTAAAAACATGTGATGGCACATCACTGAAATCCCAGCACTTGGGAAGTTGAGGCAGGAGGACACTTGAAATTTCAAGACCAGCCAGAACTACAAAATGAGCTGAAGGTCAGCTTGAACTGCATAGTGAGACTGTATCTCAAAAAGACAAAAAATGAAAAAAAAGTTAAATGAAAAGATAGATGTGAGTGGTGTTTTAAACAAACAGGTATGAGATGAGGAGTTCACTGTTTTTCCCTCCTTAGGAATAAGTTATTGACTGTGCAGCAACCAAGAACTTTTCCCAAGGAGAAAAGGATCGTGTTCAAATCTCCTGATCTGAGAGGGATTCTACAATCACATCAAGGTGAGTAGAGCTAAGTGGATGCTATGATACATGCCTACCTATAATACCAGCTCCTCAGGAGGTTGAGAGTTGAGGCCGGAGCATTCCAAGATCAACTTCAGCCTAAACAATTTAGCAAGTCAAGGAAACTGTCTCAGTGTAAAAGTATAAAAGGGTTGGAGATGTGCTTGGTGAGAAAGCACTTACTTTGCATAGAGTAGGTACTGGGTTCAATCACTAATACCACCCAAATGGGAAGAGGCTACAGTAAGGAAAGGTATGTTAAGTGTGTGGCTATGAGATTCTAGATAAGGGAGGAGCTAATTGGGATTGTGCAGTGCATAGTATGGGTGTAGGACAAAGGAAAATTATTTTCTGCTTGTTGATATGATTGTATTGTTGGGAACTGACCATTTATCCTTATTCACCAGTTCAACGGATGATTATAGTACCTTGCCTTCTGGTCTACTGGAGAGGAAATAGATGTCACATTTAGTGTGACATCTATTTAGTAGTATGAATTTTTGTCATTTCAAAGTTAGTAGATATTCAATGCTTGGGTTAAAGGGAAATCAACCTTTCATAAGCCTCCTTCTCTTCAATATATTTCATGCCTTATTTCTCATATTTTGAGACTTGTATTTCTTCTTTCCACACACACATGCAAATGTACTGCTTCTCCTTGAGTCTCCTGAATGAAGTTCCTTGCAGTTCTTTTTTAAGGTCTTCCCAATGATGCTTTTGTAACATCACACATGGTGTATTATCATGTCCTGTTGTAATCCCGAATACTGCATATTATAATCCAGGTATTGGAATTCCCGTTTCAGTCTTCGACACAATGCAAAGAGTTATATTTATAATCCTAATGAGATGTTACTGGAATCCCAGCAAGTTAATACCGATCTACCACCTCCAGTGCAACTCACGATGAGAGTAAAGGCACAAAGACATATTCAAAATTAAGGGCAGCCAAGGGATCCTAAGCCCAACCCTAGTGACGATATGCAGACAAAGGCCCTGACCTAAGGCCTCTCCCAGAATTCATTATCTGATGAAGAAGGAGGTGGCTTCAGGATGAGTGATGGTAAGGAAGGCAAGAACTACATGAGTAACTTGAGCTGCCTAGCCAGGCAGAGAGAAAAGCATCTTTGCAAAAAGCAGGGACAATGACTTGCAGAAGGATCAATCTGCATAATTCAATTAAAGTAATAATTGAATTGTTTTAGGAGGCTATTACCTCAGCTTCTGATCTCTAAATTTTGTGCCCTGGAGAGTCATAGCTTCTTGCTGTGAGGCTCTTACCCAGCTGTCATTCCCAAAGCTGATGGCTCTGCCATCCCATTGAGCCCATCTTTTACAGAGAGCACTATGCAAAGAAACAGGAGAGCATCAGAGAGCTTTAGAGTTTACACAGCAGTACCTCTGCTAGCCTTATTTGCAATGTTTGCAGCCAATTGAAGAGAGAAGGAAATACCATAGTCAACTCTGTACATATCAGTATATTGAAATAAATCTCTGTTTAACCAGTGTTGCCGCAGTAGTTCTGCCTTCAAGGGGAGTCACTCTGTTGTCTCCTACAGTGTCCCTCACCAAATTTGTCATTTTTCCACAGTTTCTGTGACACTGAATCCAAGCAAAAATGTTTTCAGTTCTGCATGTAACAATTCAACAAAGGTAGCAAATGATCCATTCCAGCCAGTTCATATTTCATAGAAGAAGCAAAGCCACAAAACCTGGCAATTCAGGCCTGAATTTCTGGTCGAATAACTGGGCATTGGATTATGTGATGGAAGATGCTTCAAAATTCCTTTTAACTTCAGAGTTCCAAGTTACCAACCTAAATGTGACTCCTGGGTCATATGGAGACAGGAAGTAGTTAAGTACCATGTTTTTGAATGTCTGAGAAGTCTAATTCCTGCACAGTAGCCCTTTCACTGCCTGTTCCTCCAACTCGTGTTGCAGTTTCCAGACGGAGACTCATACTTTCTCATCCTTTGGTGAGACCAAACATGGGTTTCTGATCTATGAATTCTCTCAGTGTTTCTTTTCTGGTACTGTTTTCTATTTTTCAGTCCTGGGGGATGTTCAGAGCCTGTGCCAATGTGTGGGCCAAATATGTGACCTTTCTTACACACTCTCCCTCTTCCCTGCCATGCCTCTGGCCCAGCTGTGCATCTCCTGCCTCTGAGTGCCCTGCTATTTCCTGGTCTTCCATTTGGACATCCTTCACTCACTGGGATCTACATGCTCTCTGGTGCTGTTTTCTTCTCAATATCTCACTTGCTCTGCAGAGAATCTTACTTTATCATTTTCCATATTCCCAAGGAAATCACTGAGTTTTCTTAAGAAAGACCACTACTGAGGTAACTGCTCCGCCCACCTCTTACAGTCTCACTCTCTGCCACTAAGAAAAGAAGAAGGAAAGTTTTCATCCAACTTTCTGAGCATCAAACACACTTTATAGGGTGTTCTCAGTAAAAATGAGCCCTTCACAGCAGAGTAGGTCATTCATCCTGGGGTGAAAATTAGTGTCATCACAGAAAACAAGTGTCATAGATCTTTTTCAAACAGGATAGGAACTAAGAGATGCAGGATGGGAAGGGAGGAGGAGACATCAAAAACTTATAATGTGTTATGTATGTGTACCCTCTCCCCATGATAAATTTAACATTATATAATGCAAACGTATACTAATAAAAATTTTTTTTAAAAATTCCAATGATCTATACTCCAGAAAACAAATGTTGTATTCATAATATCCATGTGCAATGCCTATTACTGCATATCCTTGCAGTGTAACTTTGAATAATATGCTTGTGTGTGACTGCTATGTGTGTTTTCTTGTGAGAGTTTTACATAAGCACTGCACCTGATAAATTTGATCACAAGAGAATAAACTGAGTATTAAGTACCTACTGAAGTATCTCAAAAAATACTTGTTTTAGTAATAATTGAAAAATTAAAAATGCAAGAAGTAATTCCAGCAATCAGAAGACTGAGAAAAGAATTAGTGAGAGTTCAAGGCCAGCTTGTACTACATAGTGAGCAGAAGGCCAGCCTGAATTACATAGTGAGACCCTGTCTCAAAAGAAACAAAACAGCCACATAATCCACTGCCAGGGGATTAGCTCAGCCACATAATCCCCTGCCTGGCAAGCACAAGGTCATGAGTTCAATCCTCAGTACCACAAAAAAATAAATAAATATATCAACAGAAAACACGTAAGTAGCCCTGTCCCAGGATATCCAAAGGGTAAATACAGTTAACTCTAGAGAAGCCTCATTTTGGTGCCACTATCAGCATTACTACAGCTTTGCCATATATATTTTTGTTTCTCACAAATTTAGAGTGTTATGTGTGTGTATACTTCTGGTATTAACCACATATTGTTCCCTACAAAATACATTTTGTGGGAATCTGACTACTATTAACAAAAAATAAATAAGAAATAAAAAATAATAAGAAATTTATCTCATATAAGTGCTCAGCATACAAGCAATAAACCAGCTTGTTGTCCAAATTTTTGGCTCATTTTCACTTGAACAAATTAAGTGATTTTAAAGCATGTGGATCAGTTGACATATAGAAGCCTCATTCAGTCCAAATAGTCTCTTTCTGGGTATTTGCCCACAAAAATTGAAAATGTCATGCCACAGTGCTATAGGTGCACCCATGTTTATAAACAGCACAATTTGTAATAGTTAAATCTTGGTAACAACCAAAATGCCATCAACTACAGAATGGATAAAAAAGATGTGGTATTTTTATACTGTGGAATATTACTTAGCTATAAAAAAGATAGTCTTGAGGCTTTTATAGGTGAATGAATGCAACTTGAGACCATACTTATAAGTGAAATAAGTCAAACTCACACTCGTAAATTTCATATTATATCCCTATTGTAAAAAAATAATAATAAAATGAAAGAGTAATAAGATCCAAAATGTACAATAGATATTGTAATAATGAAAGGGAAAGAAAGTGCTCAGAAAGAAAGAACAACTGAGATAGGGGAAGGGACAAAAAGAAAAAATGAAAACGTTGTCTGTGTGTAGGTATACACATACAACTATGTATACATATGTTGTAAGACAGCTATGCTACTAACCTCTTAGTTCATCAAAAAAATATTTATGCTGTCACTGTTTGATTATTTGATCAGTTTTTACAGCTAGATCTTGTAACCTGAACAACCACTTCTAATAAAACAATATGCAATATATTAACTAGTATTGATTTCTTTTTTTTTTGAAAGTCTGCATTATTTCTATCTTTTTTCTGTTTTTTTATATAAAATGAAAAAAGAAAGATAGAAAATGCACCCCCACACCCAGTTGTACTTTTAAAAACAGAGTACACTTAATGATCACAGATTTACACCTGAGGATATGGCTCAGTGGCACAATGCCTGCCTGACAGTGCAAGGTTTTGAGTTTGCTTCTGGATACCCTCCCAAAGACAGATTATAGACTATGTATTAGCAAGTTTTATGTTTTTCTTTACTAAATGAATGTTTCTAACTTCATAGCTATCTAGTCATTTCTCATATTTCTGCAAAATTCCTTTTCATTGGCAATCCTTTTCTGTATTTTTTTTAAATTTTAAAGAGATTAAGACAAAACAGGACATAACAAACCAGATCAGAACACAATGTAAGCAACACAGTATTTCACCAGAAGAAAACCCAAAATTAACAGTAACTACCACAATGTCTCTTTCTTTGAAATAGTTGAGTATAACTTCATATTTTTTGTATTTTTAAATGAAAGTATTCATTATTTTCTTTGTCTATATTTTCGGTATTGAGGATTGAGTCTAGAAACCACGCTGAGCTCCATCCTGCTACATCCCCACTATTTTTCATTTCTTATTCTGTGGCAAAGTCTCATTCTATTGTTTAGTCTGATCTAGAACTTATTATCCTCCTGTCTTAGCCTCCCAGACTATTAGGATTACAAGCTTGTGCTACCATGTCAGGCTGAGTATTATGTTTGTTATGTATGATTGTGCAGGTAGTAACAAGTCCATTTGGAGTAAGTCTGAATAATGATGTGCTGAGTATTCTGTTGGCTCTGCTTAGATTTAGTCATTTCACTGATGTAGAAGATGGTGGCATTTCACACAAATGAGGGAAAATGTCTGTTTTTCAACAGACGGAGAATTGTGCAGGGAATACAGTGCTTAATGAGAACCTCCTACATTTTTACACTTAGATCTGCATCTCTTCCTCAGCTGAGCCTAAGATGCACCAGCAGCCTTAAAAATTTAGGAGACGCGGCTGGGGATTTAGCTCAGCGGCATAAGCGCCTGCCTTGCAAGCAGGCAGTCACGAGTTCGATCCCTGGTACCCACAAAAAAAATTTTTTAAAAAATGGAGGAGACACTGGGCAGAGACAGGGCTTGCCAACAAAGGAGTTACTGAAAATGTAGAAAAGAACATCAGAAACTTCCAGTTTAGGTTCCAACATGTAACAAGATTGAGATTCATTTCTCTCATACTTAAAAAAAAAAATGAACCAAATAAGTATCAACAAGTTTTCTTAGACTCTTCAGAAAATTAAGGCCACAGTGTACCATGAGATTAATTGCCACGGTGAAATCTGGAAACAATTATGCACAGAAAATAAACATAGAGAAAAGCAATTTATTATCTATATTAATAGAAGTTACATGTTCCATAAATTGGTTGTTTTAATCAGAGTTCAAGGGGAAAAGACTTAATACAGGACACCTAATTTATAATGTCATGTTATAATGACCTCTCGAAGAATCCAATGCAAGACAGTTCAGGAAATCTGTTCACACACTAGAGACCCAAAAATTCCAGCAGAGAGCCTGGGTCCCATGGCAAAGTTCTACTCAAGTCTAGCTGGAGCCCTAGAGTCCAAAGCAATGTACTCCACAGGTCCAACTGGAGACCTAGAACTTACGAGGTTTCAAGCAAGTCTGTATCCACGATATGCACTGGGAAGGCCCAGGGGTGAGTTGTGGTAACTAGAATATTTGCACCATGAGAATGAACAATCTGTGCGAGGAACCTGAAAGATCTATAGTTGAGGCAGGAAGCAAAGCTCAAGTTAAGGATCAGTGTTTCCCAAAACAGTACTGCAGAGACAGGTAGGACTCAAGGTACTCTGAGGGTAACAACAGATGAATGACAAGCTTCTCCAGGAGGACCAACAGGACACCAGCTTCCTCTCCAGTTCTGACTTAATGCTTTTGGCAACAGTCCTGAAGTAAACCTTCTACACACAGAATCACACTGATTCAGTTTAGCTGAGTGCTATAAGTAGCCTATTAGCTAATCCCCCACTTTGACCACAGTTGTAAAAACTAATTTAAAATCTTTGTCAATTGATTCGAACATCTGGCCGATCTTGAAGCAGATGTTTGGTTTTTCCTTGCATATGGATAATGCTTGATAATTGCTCTTTGTCAGGGTTTTATGTCTGTGGCCCCCCAGCCTCATGCACTTGCACTGTGCATTTGTGATTGGCTTATTGTCTAGCACTTAAATTGGGGGTGTTAGTGTTATATCGACTTAGGGGTGGAGCCAGGATGTAATATAATGACAGGAACAAGGTGTGTGTCTCTCTCTTGCCAGTTTTTGCCTTACTATTTGCAGCCCCATAAACTGTGGCCCCACCATGTCACCCCGCTTTGGAGCCAGCTATGGATAGACTAAAACTTCCAAAAACTGTAAGAAATAAAGCTTTCCTTTCCCAACTTTGAGGATCAGGTATTTTGTCTCAGCAACAAGTAAAAATTAACTAAGACAGAATTTGGCACCAGGAGTGGGGTTGTATGTTGTGAGTATACCTGACTATGTTTTTTGAGAGTCTTTAAAAATAGCTTGTGGGCAAAGTTTTAAATAGTTTGGACAGGTTGCATGGATGCATAGAGCTGGAGCAGCTTAGGCTGTTCTGTAGAGGAGATTCTGGTCAGAGCTCAGGAGACCAGAATGCTGATAGAAAGCCTGATGGTAAAGACCAGGCTTGGAAGGTTTCTGCTGGGAAGAAGGACTGCATTGGTTGTTGGACTCCCCATGATATGTGTCATGGCTTGGCAGAAAGTTTGTCTTCATTTTGCTCAAACCCAGAGACTTTGCCTGAGACTGAGACTAAGGGCAATGAACTAATTAATCTGGAAAAGGAAATTTCAAGGCAGTCAAATGTTGAGGCTGTGGCATGGCTATTGTTGGGGGCTTATAGCCAGCTTTATGTGGCAAATCAAGAGCAAAGAGCCATCAGGATAATTTATAATGATGTGAGTTTGGCCAAAAGGAAAACTCCAGTAAAACTATAGATTATAAAGATAGTTAAGACTTTGCTGAAAAAACAGGAAGTAATAAAAAAAAAAAATATGGCCATTGGGCATCCAAGGAAGCAGTGAGTATCCACCCTTTGCTGCCTCAAAAATGCAAAAGTGAAAGAATTTGCTCAGAGGAAAAAGCTTCAGAGCACCATGCTCCAAAATAGCAATTGAGGCCACATGAAGTTCTAAAATGGCAGCAACATAGAAAAGCTTTTCTTTACAATCAAGTTCACAGAGCCCAGCAATCCAGACAATCGACCCCTACAGCCAAGAGACAAACAAGGCTAGCTACTGCTCCAGCTGGCAGCAAACATTGGTGGCATCTACCTGGTGCTGATTTTAGGTGCAAAAAAATGCACAAATTCTGAGAGTAAGATGGCTTCCACCTTGATTGCAAAGGGCCTGGGACACCAACCAGTATGTCCCTGAGAGAGCAATTTTTAAACATGTAAAGGTAAAGCCAAAGGTGAAATAGAGACTGCAAAAGTCTAAAAAAGCCAAAAACATGGATCATCCAAGGAAAGCTGCAAAAAGTGAGCTGAGAAGGTTTAAAAAAAAAAGCTGCCACAGCTAAAATCCCTAAAAGTGCCATTGGAGTGAAATCACCCAAGTCTTTTAGAGCTTACAACCAGATTGCTTCAGATGCTGAGCATAAAATCTAAGACTTAGTGTTCACTGTGCTGGATGTTGGACTTCCTTTGTTTACAATGCTTAATGCCCCAACTTAAAATGGTAATGTTTATCTTGGACCTTTCAAAAATGTTTAACCTTGTTTCATTTGTACAGGGGCTTACCATTAAGAGTTTGCCATAGATCTTAAAAGAAACATGAGACTTAGACTTTTCAGCAATGCAAAAACTGTTAGGACTTTGGCAATTCTTGGAGATGGACCAAGTGTCTTTTGTATAAAAGATGTGCATGAGTCCTGGGGCCAGGGGTAGAATGTCATGGTTTATGTCAGTGGTGCCTAGGCCTCATGCACGTGCATTGTGCTTTTGTGATTGATTCACTGTCTAGCACTTAGATTGGGGGTATGAGTGTTATATTGACCTAGGGGTGGAGCCAGGATGAAATATAATGCCAGGAAAAAGGTGTGTGTGTCTCCCTCTTGCTGGTTTCTGCCTTGCTGTTTGCAGCTGCCATAAACTATGGCCCCACCATGCCACCCTGCTTTGGAGCCACCTATATATAGACTAAAACCTCCAAAAACTGTAAGAAATAAACTTTTCCTTTCCTAACTTTCAGGAGTTGGGATTACTGTCACAATTAGTGATTTAAAGGATTCTGGAGTGCTGATTCTCACCCCATCCTCTTCAAAATGACCTATTTGGACTGTGCACAACTAACATCACAATCCAGGTGTGAGGTGGCACAAAACTATGGTCAGCCAATCAGATTACAAGAGTAGTCACTTAGGTAATACTGAGGAAATGGGGATCAAATAGGGAATCAAGTCATACAGCAAGCTCATGGGGAAAGGACAATGACTTTCCTGGATGGGGTGGGTTAAGAAGGTTTTGGTCTTACATTCAAGGTGGTTGATGCCTATTTAGAATATCAGTCACTGCTGCCCGTCCCTAGGGGAATTATGTGGGCAAAATCCTTCCACTTTTTCCTGAACTCAGGTTTCTGGAGAGGAAGTGGCTGGGGTAGCTTTCTACAGACCCGTGCAGCTACACTTAGGCTTCCCTCATGGCCATGGGTGTGTGATTGGTGTGGGGGTGGGGGGGCTGCCTCATCTCTCAGCCTGCCTGGCTGCACTGAAATGCCCACGATGGCAGCAAGCATGCAGGAAGCTGAGGAAGGAACATCGCATGTTCAAGCAGAACCTGAAGAATTTTGCACGTTAAAGAAACCAGTCTCAAAGTAAAAGCTTGAAAGGGTTGGAGATGTGCTTGGTGGAAGAGCACTCACCCAGCATGCAGTAGGTACTGGGTTCAATCACTAATACCACCAAATAGGAGGGTGTAGTGAGGAAAGCTAGTTACTTGTGTGGCTATGGGAGTCTAGAGGAGTTAGAAGCTAACTGGGGAAGAGAGAGCAGTATCTAGTGTGAGTACAGAAGACGGGAAATTAGTATCTGCTGGTGATGAGATGGTATCATTGGGGAATGACCATTCATCTGCATTCTCCAGTTCACTGACCAAGTATAGTTCCTTGCCTTCTGATGGACTAGAAAGGAAATAGGATGTGAATGTGACTTCTTTGTCTACATTTATTATTTTCATCATTTCAAAGGCAATGAATGTTCAATGCTACTTGGTTAAAGGGAAATTATAGTTTCATAAGCCTCCCTCCCTTCAATATATTTAACACTATTTCTCATATTTTTAGACTCACATTTCTCCTTCCCACAGATATACACATACACTGTATGTCTCTGCAAATGTATTACCCCTCCTTGAGACTCCTGAGTGAAGTTCCTTTCAGTTCCTTTTAAAGATCTTCCCAAAGATATTCTTGTAACATCACTCATGGTGTTGTATCATGTCCCTCACCGACACTGTAATTTTTCCACAGCTCCTGGGATACCGGCTCCAAGCAACAGTCCAAATGTTGTCCTTTCTGCACCTAGCAGACCAACAGCAGTAACAAACTATCCATCTGAGTATTCTCTTGGAGGCGCCACAGCCACAAATCCTGTCACAACCTCTGTTATACCAACTGGATCTTGGATTAGATGATGCAAGATACTTCAAAACCCCCTTATCTTCAGTGTTCCAAACTATCAACCTCAGCATGGCTCCTGGGTCATAGGGCTGCAGGACGAGGTTAAGTACCATGTTTCTGGGTGTCTGACAACTCTAATTCCTGGACTGTGGCCCTTTCATTACCTGCTCCTCCAAGTCGTGTGAGGGTTTTTCCAGACTGTGAGGCTCATACTTTCTCATTCTACAGTATGACAGACCATAATTTTCTCATCTATAAATTCTCTTTGTGTTCATTTCCTGGAAATGTTGTTCCATTTTTCAGTCTTGGGGGATATTCAGAGCCTGTGACATTTTGTGGGCCAAACGTATGACTTTTCTTAAACCCTCTCCCTCTTCCCAGCCAGGCCTCTGGCCAAGGCCTGCATCTCCTGCCTCTGAGTGCCCTGCTCCATTTTAGTCTCTCTGTCTACTGTCTCCTGGTCTTCCATTTGGACGTCCTTCACTCATCCTGGGATCTACACATTCTCTGGTGCTGTTTTCTTCTTAATATCACATTTGCTCAGGAGAGAAACTTTATCACTTCTCAGACTCCCAGGAAATCACTTCTTTAAAACTTAAAGAGAACAAAACCAAAAAAAAAAAAAAAAAACAAAAAAAAAAAAAAAAAAAAAAACAGGATAAAGCCAGTCAAACAAACCAATGAGAACAATACAGGACTTCAAAAGAAGAAAATAGAAAATCTAAAATGGCTACTACAATATACCCATTATCTTCAAAACAATGGGCCATACTATCAAACATAATAGAATCTAACAAAATAACACAGAATAAAACCAAAGAAAACAATGAAAATGATACTGATAAAAGAAAAGTAATAGCAAATTAGCACAGGGAACCACCTTCTCTTTTTAGACATTTGTTCCTCTTTAACCTTCACAGTATCTGTTGTACATTTTTGGTTCCTACAAATTACTCCAGGGTTTTTATCTCTATTTAATTTTAAAGGAAATAAAGCAGATCAATAAAACAAATGAAACAGTGATAAGATAATATGTGATCTACAACAGAAAATATTGCATATTATTGTCCTCTAAATAGCTGCGAGGCTTCATGGTTGCAGACTCAGATAATACAGTACCTCCAAATCAGCTGGTTGCTGTCTGTGGGTCGGAGGGGCTGTTCTCCTCAATCCCGCCTGGGCACTGAGGAACTCACAGGCAGGAGCTTTGCTTCTGTCTTGGGTCTCCCCAATCCACCAACCGAGTCCTCTTAAGAAAGACTGCTACTGAGATAACTTCTGGGTCCAATCTTTACAGCCTTGTTCTCCACCACTGAGAAAAGGTGGAGGAAAGTTTTCACCTAACTTCCTGTACATGGAAGATTGTTTATAGGGATGTTCTCAGTAAAGAATGAGTCTTTCGCATTATAACCATGTTTCTTTTTCATCCAGGAATGAAAAACAGAATCTCATCATAGAAAACAGGGTCGTATATCTTTTGTAAATGGGGAAGAGACTAAGAGATGCAGGCTGGAGCAAGGAGAAAAGAAGGGCACATGAAAAAATTATAATGCATTATGTACATGTACCATCTCCCCATTATGAATTTAACATTATATACTGCAAACATGTACTAATAAAATAGAAATTAACAATAAAACCCATCAATGATCTAGACTCCAGAAAAAAGCTGTGTTCACACTATCCATATTCAAATCCTATTTCTGCATATCCTAGCAGTGTAACTTTGACTAATATGCTTGACTGTTTTGTGTGTTTTCTTGAAAGAGTTTTATATAAGCACTGTACCTGGTAAATTGGATCACTGTAAGACCATAAACTGAGTATTAAGCTCCTACTGAAGTATCTCAATAAATACTTGCTCTAATAATAATTGAAAAATAATACAAGTAATTGCAGCAATCAGGAGACTCAGTCAAGAATCACTGTGAGTTTGAGGACAGACTGTGCTACATAGTGAGCTCAAGGCCAGCCTGAATGTACAGTGAGACACGGTCTCAAGAAAAAAAGAAAAAACATGAGAAGTAACCCTGTTCCATGAAGCAGGTTACCGACAGAGGAACTACGGTAGACTCTAGAGAAGCCTCATGTTTTGGTCCCATTATCAACACTACTGCCGTTTTGCCACATAAATTTCTTCCTCACAATTTTAGAGTGTTGTATGTGTGTATACTTCTGGTATTAGCCACATATTGGTCCCTATAAAATACATTATGTTGAAATCAGATTACCATTTGTAGAAAATAATAAGCATGAAATTCACTTCATATAGCATTTTAAAAACCAAACAAACACAGAATTTTTAGTGCTTGGCATGCAAGCAATAAGCCAACATGGTGTCTAAATTTTTGGCTCATCCTCATTTGACTAAAATAGATGATTTTAAAGCATTTGTATCAGTTGACTTATGGACACTTCTCCCCTCCCCCATTGAATTTTTAAAAATAGAATACAGGTTGGCTGGGGGTTTAGCTCAGCTGTACAAGTGCCTGTCTGGCAATTGAGAGATTGAGAGTTTGATCCCTGGTACCAACAGGAAAAAAAAGAAAAAGAAAAAGTAAAATACAGTTAAAGATCACAGGTTTAGGGGCTAGGAATATAGCTCAGTGGCACAACACCTGCTTAGAGGTCTTAAGTTTGATTCCCAGTACGAAAAAAAAAAAAAAAAGAAAAGAAAAAAAGGATGACACATTTTTTTATTAGATAGTTGTATGTTTTTGTTGACTGTTTCTAATTCCATAGGTATGTAGTAATTTTTCATATTCCTGCAAAATTCCTTTTATTGGAAGCTCTTTTTTGTATTTTTAAATAAAAGTATTCATTATTTTATTTGTTCTGTTTTTTCAGTATTGGGGAGTAAATCTAGGGACTTTACAACAAGCTCCATCCTGCTACATCCCTAGCTACTTTTCATTTCTATTCTGTGACATGGTCTCATTATGTTTCTTGGGCTGAGCTGGAACTTATCCTCTTGGCTCAGCCTCCCAGACTATTAGGGTTATAAGTATGTGCCACCGTGGCAGGCTGAATATCATGTTTATTATGCATGATTGTACAGGTAGTAACAAGTGGAGTATGTCTCAACAATAGTGTACTGAGTATTCTGTTCACCTCGCTTAGCTTTAGTCATTTCATCGAGGTAGAAGGTTGTAGTATTTCAAATGAATGAAGAAAAATGCCTGTTCTCCTCCTTCAATGAAACAGGAGAACTACGCAGTGGATATGGTGTTTGGTGAGAATCTCCTGCATTTTTACATTTGGATCTCCATCTCTTCCTCAGCTGACACTGAGGGGAACCGGCAGCCTAAGAAATGACAGCTGGGCACAGAAAGGAGTTACCAACAAAAGACTTACTGCAGATGTAGAAAACAACATCAGAAACATCCAATTTGGGTTTCAAAATGTAGAAAGCTTGAAACTCTTTACTCTCATCCTTTCAAAAAAACACTGAAGCAACTAAATATTAACATCAATATAAAATATCTTAGATTCATCAGAGAATTAAGGTCACAATACACAGTGACATTAATTGCCACAATATCTGGAAACACATAGGTATACAAAATAAATATGAAGAAAAGCAGTCCATTATCTATATTTATAAAAGCTGCATGTTCCATAAATTGGTTGTTATAGGGCAGGATGACACATGCCTGGCAAGCCTGAGGTACTGAGTTTGATTCCCTTACAAAAAGAAAACAAAAATAGTTGAGTTTACATGGGAAAAGATTTAATACAGGATCCCTAATTTATAAGATTATTTCATAACAACCTCCCAAAGAGTCAAACGCAAAAGAGTTTAAGAGATCTCTCCACACACTACACACCCAAAAACTTCAGCAGAGGACCTGGATCCCATGGCAATGTTCTGCTGAAGTCAAGCTAAGACTTACAGCCCAAAGCATTATCTTTCACAAGTTTAACTGGAGGCCTAGAAGCCATGAGGTTTCATGGGAGTCTGCCTCCAGGGTGTGCACTGGGAAGGCCCAAGGGTCAGTAGTGGCAGCTAGAAAGTCTGCTACAGTTGGGATGAAGGATCTGTGGGAGCAGGCTGAGCGATCTGCACTGGAACCAGGAAGTGAAGCTCCAGGTAAGAGCCAGTGCTCCCCGAAGGGAAACACAGTGACAGGGAGGCCTTGAGCTCCTTTAAGGATGAGAACAGCTGGGATATTACTGGGAAAGCCAGTGTGACAAGCTTCTCCAGGAAGGCCAACAGCACACTATCTTCCCCTCCCGTTCTGCTTTTATGCTGTTGGCAATAGACTTCAGGTGGCCTTCCATACCCAGCAAAACCCTGACACAGTTCTGCTGGGTGTTACAAGTCAACCACTAGTTAATCAACCATGTTATAAGCTCAAAAACTGAAAATGTGCTATACTTATTGTAAATCTCTTCCTGTAAAGCTTGTGCAATTGCCAGTTAAGTTGCAACCTCATAGCATACCCACCATGTAACCCCCTCCTTGCCTCCCTGGTTCTTATAACTGCTTGTGTCCTCCCCGCCCCCACCGTTCCTGTAAAACTAAACCAAACCAAATTACTAAACTAAACTAAACCAAATTACCTTTTATGGGGAAAAACTGATCCTAAGACCCTGATCCCTTGCCTTGAGACTTGCTACTTTATAACTCCCTGCAGCCCCTGGCTCCGCACTCACTTCCCTGGCTGCTTTTCTGGGACAGTGTGGCCACTGAGCTCAGCTAATAAACCACTTCCTTTTTAATTTTGGAGTGCATCATTTTTCTGCCCATATCAAACCACATCAACTGTAGTTGTACAAACTGCTTTAAGCTATTTGTCAGTTAATTCAAACATCTGGCTCATCTTGAATCAGCTGCTTGGTTCAAGCATAATGTTAGACAATTGGTCTTCAAGTGCTTCTCCTGAGAAGTAGGTGAACCTTCAGAAGATGGAGTCTAGTTAGCAGTCCTTAGATGACTGGACACTGGCCCAGCTTCGCACCTCCTTTTGTGGCCTTAAAGGAATACCTCTACAGACTGAAAACTCAAATTATGAGACAAAATAAACCTCTTCTTTTCTTATGCTAATTATTTTAGCTGGGTTTGTTTTTTTGTTTTGGTACTGGGGATCTAACTCATGACCTCCCACTTGCCAGGCAGGTGGTTGTGCAGCTGGGCTAAACCCCTGCTTAATTATCTCATGGATTTTATTATAGTTGTGATAGCTCGGACCCCAGAATAAAACCCAAGGAAGCAAGAAATTAAAATTTGGGGAGCAAAGTCTTTATTTCCAGGCCTGGTGACGCAGTCTCTCTAGGATCAACCCAAAGACTGCGCACCTTACAGCTAAAGGCAGTGACTTATAAAGCAAAAAACCACAGAAATGCTAAGGCTATTGACACAATTAGATTGCAGCTGGCAGCTGGACCTTACAGAATTCTCGGTAATGTCCTGAGGTTAATCATTTCTTGCAGAACAGCAAGCACTTCTTTTGTAAAGAACAGCACAATTAGCACAATTAGGGCAATTTATGACAGCGCAGCAGTTAGGGGCTTAGGTTATAACAATAGTAACAGAAAACTGAAAAGTCAAGCAATTACACTTTCAATTATATTTTATATTATTGTAGAGGCTAGGAATTTAGCTAAACACAAGGTCATGATTTGATCCCCAGTAACTCATATATATTACAGTCCAAATTCCCATTTATGATGAGGCTATCTGAATCTATTTCCTGTCAAATGAAGACATTTTTTCAGATAAACTAAAACTGTAGCAATTAGAGCATAAAGAATGTTAGAGAAAAAATGAAAGTGCTCTATTTAGTAAGTTCTACTATATGCAAGTGGTACTTGAATGTAGATCATGGAGGAGATTAACATCTCTCTGTGTTCAGTGGCATAAATAGTAAACTGTTTCATAAACAGGAAGAGCAGTAGCTCTAATATCTCTGAGGACACAGATGATAATAAAGCACCATTACTTTCTATAGCTGTTTTAGAATGCACGTGCGCCGAACCCGTTCCAAGTTTTGCGCATGCGCATACCCCTTTCTAGTTCCAAAACTCCACAGCCACCCAAGCATCCACCTCCACCCCCCAGTAAATCTTTCTGTTTCTTGTTTTACACTGGCAGATGCTCCTTCAAATCAGCGGTTAATATGTCATTTTGCACACCTCCCAAACTCCTTCCCCAGCCAAAACTGATAAAAATTGTCCCACTTCTCTGTTCTCTTTTGAGAGCCTCTGTACCCTCTGCCCCAAGAAGCTCTCCTATGGCCACATTAAAGGCCTTCTCCTTTATCTCCTTCTTATCTCTCTCATTTTCTCTGCTCCACTTTCCGATTGAATGCCAAAAATAATCAGACTAGGCATCAACCATGGCTACACAAGCAGGTTACAACCCGGGGAATTTGTTCCCTAAACCTCATTTCAGGTAGGTGGCTCTTTGGCACAGATACCTGTTTTGTTTCTTCTGTTTGTTTTGAGGCAGAGTCTTGTTATGAGGTCAAGCTGATCTCAAACTCATGGCGATCTTCCTGCCTCAGCCTCCAGAGTCATGGTATTGCACGCATGTGTCATGTGCCTGTCTGAGTGACTGCTGTCTCGGGTAACAAAACTCACCACCATTCAAGCTCTAGGGCCTGCCGCCAGGGGAAGATGCTTCAAACCCTAGAACTCCTGGGCCTCTCTGAACGCCTCAGGGGCTCCAGGACTTTGGGTCCGAGGCCCTTGACACTGAGCTATGTCACCAGCACTTCGTTATATTTGCGTTTTGATGCATGACCTTGGCGGGCCACTGTGTTGGCTGTTAAACTGCTTCAGCCTCCAGAGCACTGGGATTACAGGCATGTGCCACCGCTACAAACCTGAGATCGGCTTAACTTCAGCATTTCCACCAGCCTGCAGCACAGCGCCTTACGCGTGGCAGGACCTTAAAAATGCTAAATGTAGCGCTTTCAATACAGGGCCAGATGTCCTCCCTCCGCATCGTCCCCACCCCGCACCTCCTTGGCAACTCCTCTTCACCATGGCACTCTAACCCTAACCCCCAGCCCCCTCCCCCATGGAAACTGTCCTCCCGGAATGTGGTACCACTGATGACCACCAGGGAGCGGGCGGTTCCCAGAGCAACCCAGGAAGCGAGGGCATGGGAAGAGTGGGAAACTGATTCTTAAAAAGAACTGGGACAGGGCGGGCTGCATGAGTCCTGGGCAGGGGCAGCAGCGTTCCTCAGAGAGGACACTCTGGAAGCATTCGGGGTGTGCTGGTCCCAGTACTTGGGACTGACCCCTGGGACTTTGCGCTGAGCTACATCCCAGCCCTTTCTAGTCTTTTTTACTTTGAAAATGTGTTGTGCAACTGGGAAAAGATTTTAGTGAACTCTCTCTCAGACAAGGGCCTCTTGTCTAAAACATATAAAGAATTAAAGAAACTCAGACCTCCGAAATTCAAAGATCCAATCCAAAAATGGGCATCTGAGATGAATATGCAATTCTCAGATGAAGAAATGCAAATGGCAAATAAATACATGAAAAAATGCTCATCATCATTGGTCATTAGAGAAATGCAAATTAAAACCACACTGAGATACCATCTCACTCCTGAAAGAATGGCCAGGATCAAGAAAACCGACAACAAATGCTGGAGAGGCTGTGGGGAAAAAGGAACTCTCCTGCACTGCTGGTGGGAGTGTAGACTGGTACAGCCTTTGTGGAGATCTGTCTGGAGATTTCTCAAAAAGTTGGGACTGGAAATCCCATTTATTCCAGCTATTCCACTTCTAGGCATATTCCCAGAAGAACTGAAAGCATCATACCACAGTGATATATGTGCACCTATGTTTATAGCAGCACAATTTGTAATGGCCA